TATATATATATAATTAAATTCAGATGTATATATAATTTATTAACTAAAAAATTTTAAATTTATTTGAGAATCTGTTATATATATACACTAGTTGAAATCATTTTTTTTACATTAAAAAAATATATATGTACATTCAAAAATCAGAATATGTATTAGTTGCAAATGAAACATGATAATGATGATGATAATGATGATACAAGTTAGAGTATTAATATTAGTTTATATATAAATCTTGGCTAATTGAGTTTGATTTAGACTTTAATGTAATATTTTCATTTCCACAAATGTACTTTCACTACATTTGCCAATGTGCTTCTGTATTTTTACAGCGCAACAGATTGTTTCTGGAAAGTCAACTGTCAATTTTAGTCATAATTATCATTGTTTTTGATGCTTTCTAACTTGTCTTGTCCATTATCTGTATTTCACAAAAACAAACACCATCTTTTAACTATTTTTCATAGACTTCAATTCAGATCATATGTCTATTACATCAAACACATGAATACCTGGCCTTCTTGTATCCTAACAAAATAATTCAATTGCAATTACTTTGGTATTCATTTTAATTACAGCAATTTATATTTTAAATTCTAATGAAAGCATACATATGTGTAGTTGAAATTTTTTTTTAATTTAATTAAATAAAAGCATTAAAAAAAATTTTATTTGAAAGAAATTAATTGATATATTTTCATTTATTTATTAAAATATAGTTAGAATTAAGAAAATTCTACTTACTGATGATAATGATAAAAATGATTCATGTTGAATAATTTCTTGGGCATGTTTATCAACAAAACAGCAGCATACTTCTGCCAATGATGATAAATGGAATAAATTTGCTGTATCGTATATCATACAAACATTACGGATGTTCAAAATTGCTTTCAGATATTCAGAAATAGACGTTTCCAGTTCGACAAAACCATACTGATGAGCCAGACCAAGTATATCCAAAATCATATCTTCCTATTTATTTATATAGAAATAAAAATAATTTAAAATCTTATTTATAAACATTTATAATTAAACCTAAAATATTTTAAAAATTAATTTCATTTGAATTTTAATGAAAAAAACCTATAATTTTTTTGATAATTTTGTTTGCTATTTAAATTTTATGTTTTTGCTATCATTTCTTCTATCAACAATATACACAAACTTCTTCTCTATGCTCTCACACAAATTCTTTTGGACTTTATGATATAATGCTCCATTTCTTATATTTTCATTTTGTTAGTTCTCAATGCATTTGTTAACAAACTTGCATAAATCAATAATTTTTTCTAAATATTCAATGTTAAATTTATTATTTCATAAATATTCAAAATACTCTATTCATCTTTTTTCTGTTATTTTTAAATTCAATTTTTTGCTCTTTTTCTTTTAATATATTATTAATACCAAATTCTTAAGACCAACCTAACTTTCCTCTCATAACATCTTAGGATCTATTATTTAATTCTGTTTTAACCTCAGTGTACAGTTTTAAACTCTGTATTAAACAACTGAATACTGTTAGATCTTATTTTATATTTCATTGAATCCTTTGAAAGCATCAGAAACTGAGATGACACGATACTGAATTCTGCTAATATGTATTCAGAATATCAGTTTATAAATAAACTAATACCAGTATATTGGGAACATTCCAATATGCTAATATATCAGTATCAGATAGGTATCAGTTCATCTCTAATCAGAACATCTACATATTTCTTTTCAGTAAATTATGAACTGCACACATTTCAGTTTGTTTCATTATTAGTAAGTCTAAACAATGCTTATTCTCCATATTAAATCATTATCTTTAGAACTAATTTTATAGCATCATCTAAAAAAAAATGTTACAAAATTTACTGATTAATCATCCATATATCTTCTATTATACTGTGTTTGATACCTGTGTGATTTTTTTTACAATCTTCTTATAATCACAATATTATACATGAACAATTTCTAAAAGTAATTTAACATATGTAGTAAATAAAGAAATTATAAAGTAATAATGAGTAAGAATGAAAATTTTGTGCATTAAGCATTTTTTTCTTTTAACTATCAGACATACATTTAAAATTAAATAAAAAAAACATTGTCATAATGCTGGGTTGCAATTTTTAATTTAAAATTTATGTTCTCCACTTCAAATTAGTAATGGCTTGCCCCTGTACATTATACTTTTTCTTTAACAATGGCATCATGCTGGTCATCTATCAAACTCCTTTCAGAGGAAAATTTTTGAATTGAAATAATGTTACATCTGGTTTGCGTCAGAGGTTCGTATATAGTTAATTGGAGCCTCCTGTCCCTAAGCTTTCAATTCTGTTCTTGGATTTTGTCTATTTAACTCTGTTCTTGAGATTAAGGAAAGACAGACAGATAGACAGACAACAACAGTGGGAATTTATAGGTCTACAATTTTTCAAATTGCAGCCCGATGACATGATGCAGAAAGTTACTAACCTGAATTTCTATAGAATATTTTTTACTATAGATATAAAATTTTAAGCGGATTTGAATTGTTAAATATCATTTTACCAAAACATTAAATTATAAAGTACAAATGGGCCAGAGGAAAAGCTGGGGATTTTTCCCCGAGGCCAGAGAGAATTTAGTTGGCCCATAATTGTTTCTACCTATATTAATGTTATCTATACCCAGTTGCATACCAAGCTTTTGATGGCTCTGGTTATAAACAATCATCATTATTAGCAGAAATCAAATATAAGAAGCTCCCTTATTTAAAGGAATTAAGTAATAATTTTAGTTCAGACAATAAAAAAAAAATCAATGAAAATATATTAAAGTTTAATAATTCTTTTAATTATAAATAATTTAATTACATATCTTACTTTAAGATTTGTTAATGTCATACGACCAGTATAAATATAGCGCAATAAGATCTTGAAAGCTACTAAAGATGTTCCTTTTAATTCAATTACATCTTGTGATGATTCTCTCATTCCACCATATAATAATGCTCTAAAAATTAATACATAATAAAAATTAGCCATTTTAAACACACACACATTTAAACTTTTGAATAACAACAAATTAAAATTCATGTAAAAAAAAAAAGAAAGAAAAAGTGTTCATATAAATTACAAGTTACCATAAATTACTGACTGAATTTTTTTATCATCATATGACTAAAACATTCAATAAAATATAATTTAATATATATTTTTTTGGATTATTTTTAAAAATTAAGATAAATTTTATTAATAACTAATTTGGAAAAATAAACTGCAGAAAATTATATTTTATACGATAATAAGGTATAAAAAAAATATTTAAATACTTTATATAAAATATATTTCAATAGAAATCTTTTTATTCATTTTTGGGATTACTAGACTAAAACATAAATATGTCGTATAATACAATTATGAATCCTAACAAATTCTTTTCAGATAAATGAAAATATACTAGAGAAATACAAGGTGGAACATAATTACATCTCCTATTTTATTTTAAAGCAATCAAATTGAAATTCATACATATTAAATTATATATTAACATATCTTGGCGAAGGATTTTTGCATCTCACTTTATTTTAATATGACAACTTGCAACGTCAATGCACATACATATGAGACATTTTGTTTCCTCAGAGACTTTTGACATTTCTGGTATCACAAGACAGCGTTGCCCCAATTCTGTCCAGAAGCTCCTTAATAGCAAGTGGCTTCATTGCATACATGTGTTCCTTTACAGAACTCCTAAGGAAACATTTAGGGGTAATGTCAGATGATCTTGAAGGCTATGGGATATCATTACTACACTATTCTATGGAAGAGACTGTTCAGAGTTGCACAAACCTCTTGTGGTAAACGTCATTATGGAGAAAATACTGTTGTATCATGTGCAGTAAGCCAATTTCAATTGGGACAGCACAAAAAGTCTCTGCTGTGTTTGACCCAAAAAATAAACACACTAGACTCTAACATCAGACATAGGACATTAACTTTTGGAAAATCTCAATGTTGTCTCTTTGGAAATCAGCTTTACTCCATAACCAGCAATTCCATTGATTCAACAATCCAGATAAGTGAAAGGTTGTCTTATCCAACCAATAAAAATTTACAATATTTGAAACTTTTCACCAGAGTATTTTATAGTACCATGTAATTTAAATTACAATTGCTTTAAAATAAAACAGGAGACATGATTATGTACTACCCTGTACATCTAAAAAGAACATTGGAATTTATAATTACAGTTGAACTTCCATACAATAAATTTCTTCCAGGAAAAGTAGAAAATTTGTCATATAGAAAAGACACTAAATAGAAAATGCACTGGTAGTGAAAACACAGTACATTGTAAATATTTTATTCTCCATGCAGTTCATATTCATAACGAGATAAAATATTAGGTATACATTTTCTTGCTAATAATGGAAGCAATTTCTTAGTTTTAAATGTATCAGTAAGATTTTTATTTGTATTATATATCCATATATAACAATTAACAATCAGTAAGTTTGTTATTTATTATATATTTGTATATTCAGTCACAGATATTTGATCTCACTATGAGAAGAGTACTTTAATAACAACAGACATCTGGCAGCAGCAGCTGTAGAAATGAGTCAACATTTTAATCAATTTTAACAGTTATCAGTAATAAAGACTTTTTTTTATTTATCCAACTTTTGAAACTCCATTAAAGAGATATTTCTGGATATATAAAAAAAATGTAATCTTATTCCCCTATTAAGGATCAGAACTGTGCTGATTATCAGACATTTTTGTATTTTCACAAAATTCAATAAGATATGTAATCTGAACATTGCAGGCATTACTATACACTGCTTATATGCTTCCAATTTGTTTATGAATGCTCTTTAATTAGTCTGAAGATAACAGAGTGCATGACTATACTGTGTTAAAATTGATTGAAAAACCTGAAAAACATTAGTGAACACATTACTACACAAATTCAACATTCACAATGATTCAAATGCTTATGGTATTTATTTTTCAGATATGCACTATATTTCCAGGTTTTTAG